GGAGGCTCGCATAACTCAATAAGGCAAAATCACACTCCAGGTTAGGTGAGAGACCAGACATTCAAGCCTGTATCATATACTTTGTCGAGATTTTTCTAACGTCGAGGATGTGTTCGCAATGACTCTGCATTTACTGTACAAATGCTTATCTCCACGAGTAATCTAATAAACGACAGCAGCTGTGCACCAAGTAAACATTTACGTCTCCTTGATAATAATATCGCGTATGGCTGGAAAAAGCAGGACAATTTTCAGACAGGCAGATAACGTTAGTGGTGGTGATGGTGGCGGTAGCGGTAGTGTTGGGGGTGGTGGTAGTGGTGGTAGTAGTAGTAGTAGTAGTAGTAGTAGTAGTAGTAGTAGTAGTAGTAGTAGTAGTAGTAGTAGTAGTAGTAGTAGTAGTAGTAGTAGTAGTAGTAGTAGTATTGATGATGGCGGGCCGTTAAATGAAGACAGCTTTCCAGGCTGGCAGATTTCGTTTTTCGGGAGCTTAAAACGACCGTTGAAACGATCATAACGGGTTTATCTAACTAAAACACAGTTGTCCTATTCTCTCAGCTGGAGCGCAGACAATGTTTTTCTTTGCCTTTTAAGCTCCGCAGAAGTTAGTGCTCTGACATGAAATGAGTGACAGCTTACGGATTTCTACGAAAGTTGCAGAAATGCCAAAAAGCTGACAGACTCAGTGATAAGCCGAATGTCTCGCAGAAGAATCGCGACATTTTAGAAAATTTGCAAAAAATTGCCTAGACTTTTAGCTAATACCTGTGATGTCAGTGTAGCATCATGCAACGGATGCATGCTACTGACTTTCTGATGGCATCTTGGAAATGTTACGTTGTTACCTCATCGATTCTAAAAACGTTCGGCCCAAATACTCGCATTAAGTTTCAGACTGAACCTATAAAGCCGTATTCTGAAGAATTCGCTCCATCGGTACATGATTAAAGAAGTTATTCTTCAAAAGAACTCGTCGGTTTGCTTCTATTAAAGTGGTCATTCTTTTTAAGTATTCGTTCGGAAGCTTGTCCTTCTAATACACTAACTCTGTTGCTTTTCAGTTTCCTCAGAAAAATAACTGCGAACTTGGAGTAGATCAGTATACTCTAGGTCTAGAGGCTCAGACCTAAACCTTTTTGTGTGAATATTTGGGTCGAAGTCTATCAGCCACAACGGGTAACAACGTAATATTCATTAACTGCCAACAGGCAGCTAGTAGTATACTTCAGAGCAAAGGAATACCATACTAACGGCACAGGCTTTTTGGCTTATACTGTCCTGTTAGCATGGTATTCCTTCACACTAATACATTTCCTCCTCTTTCACAGACCAAAGGTCAAACTGGATTCTGGGAGTTCTGAATCCAAGCCGGCACCCCTTGTAACCAGTCTGTATCATCATCCAGTATGCATTAGAGGTGGTCAGATTAGCAATGGTCTATAAACCTGACAAAAATGTGATATTCTAATACTAGGGAAGAAGCACTTGGCAGGAATCGTTTAATCAGTTCTAAATAAAATTAGGAATCTACTGAGCAAGGACTTTAATAGAGAAGAGTTAACAAAGAGGAAATGCCTTCGTGGCAGAGAACAGAAGGATGCGAGAGCCGAACGGTTACTCAAGTTACTAGAGATACACGTTGCCAGACCGCACGGAGTAGCCAGAAATGTGGGAAAGTTACAAAAACTGCAATAATGCATGTGCCTTAGTGGTCATGATAACCAAGTCGTGGATTGACAGACACAATAAAGGGGATTTTTTTGCTCTCAGAACACGGATTTGAAACTCTGGTCATATGGGCTGCTATCAAGTTCGCAGTGTGCATTAAGAGTGTGGAGCAGTGCCTGCAAGAGTTGGTCTTTGATGTCAATTGTATTTTTATGCACGTTGGAGCTTAATCAGTTTGTTTGTTTCCGAAATCAGAAGACGAGGTGGCGAGCATACGTAGCTTTCGATAAATTCTCGTCGGGCCAGTACAGTTATATGAGAACGGGGTAGAAAAAAAAACACGTCAGCGATAAGAAAATCGATAAAAGT